GGCAGATTCTTAACCACTGCACCACCAGGGAAGTCCTGTACTGGCTCTTAACACATATGATCTCATTCTTTACAGAACCAGTGAAGTAGGTACTGCTATTACCCTCATTTTAGATGAGGGATTGGAGGCTCAGAGGAGTGATGGGACTCGTCCCCACACACTCATTTGGGAAGGAGAATCTGAGCCCAGTTAGAGGTGGCTTACCTCTTCACTCTGTCCATCCTGTACATCATCCTGACAGCCAAGGTGTTCATCTCAGCCCTGCCCCATTGTTAGCTATTCGGCTTCTGGACCCCCTTTCCCTCTGTGGACACTGACGTCTATTCTTCAGAGGTGCTAAATGAACTCAAAACTGTGTTCTCAGTGGAAGAAGTGGGGAAAAGCCAGGAAGGTTTAGCTGGTGTGTTAAAGTGTGGGCTCTAGGGTCTGTTGCACTTGGACTCTGGCTGTGTTGGCTTAGGCAGGTCACTTGACCTTTCATCTGTTTTTTTCATCTGTCAAATGAGGATAATGACTGAACATTTCTCTTTGAGTGGTGGTGAGTACAGAGTGAGACTTTGCATGTGCCTGGAACATAGCAGGTGCTCAGTAAACATTACCGCTGTCCTTAGAGACTGGAATAGGAATGGAGGGATATGATCATTGAGCTGTCAAATCCTCAAAGCGTCTTAGGGGCCAGAGAGAGGAGAAGTTTTTCATGGACTCACAGAGAGAATGCATTCTAACAGGGAAAAGTCTAGTGAAGGTGGATTTTGCTCCATTCCAGGAAGACCTTCTTCTCCTTCTCCTTCTCCTTCTCCTTCTCCTTCTCCTTCTCCTTCTCCTTCTCCTTCTCCTTCTCCTTCTTCTTCTTCTTCTCCTCCTCCTCCTCCTCCTCCTTCTTCTTCTCCTTTTCCTTCAACATTTTACTGAAGTATAGTTGATTTATGATGTTGTGTTTAATTTCTGCTGTACAGCAAAATGACTTACATATATATATATACATATATATATTCTTTTTCATATTCTTTTCCATATGGTTTATCACAGGATATTGAACATAGTTCCCTGTGCTATACAGTAGGACCTTGTTGTTTATCCATCCTATATATATAATAGTTTGCATCTGTTCATCCCGAACTCCCAAATCTTCCCTCCCCCACCCCCCTTGGCAACTACAAGTCTGTTCTCTATGTCTGTGAGTATGTTTCTTTTTCATAGATAGGTTCATTTGTGTCATATCTTAGATTCCACATATAAGTGATAGCATATGGTATTTTTCAGGAAGACCTTCTTGACCATGAGAGGTCACCCAGCCTCATAGCTGCTGGCTTTAGTGAATGAGTTTCACATCACTCAGGGGAACCAAGATAGAGCTTTGATTAGCACCAGTCAGTGAGGCAGCAGAGGCTGATGGGGTGGAGTTGTGCTGGGCCATCTCTGAGGGAGACCCTTTTCCGGTTTCCTCATACCCCACCAGCCGCTTCACAAGGAGAGTCCCCTGTCTTGCCCACCCTCCACTGGTGCCACGACCACAGGAAGGCCCAGCCCAGCACTTGCTGCATCTTCTCTAAATAAACTCGGGCAGCTGAGCTATCTACCTCCCCATCTCCCTCTGGGTTTCTGTGGAGGTGTTGGGATGGTGGTTAGGGGTGGCTCAGGCTGAGCCACAGAGAGGAGGGACTTGGGCAGGGAGTTGCACAGTGAGGCTGAGCCCTTGTCTGCTTCATGGGCTTGGCATGAAAGCCTACTGTTCCTGCTCTAGCTGACCTCTAGCCCATGCACTGCCTTCCTCCCTGGGCATCTGCTGGCTTTGACTCAGCCTTAGAGGACCCCTGGGCTGTGTCCTCCTCCCTTTCCAGTCCAGCTGGTCCTTGGGATGTGCCTTTGACACCCATCAACTCTTGGCTTTGTGAGGGCAGGGATGTTGTTTAATTTTCCTCTGCTGTCCCAGTAACCACCTTAGAACCTGACACAGTGTTGTGTGCGTGAATGAATAAATATGCATCCCAAGGTGTTTTGTGAAGTCGATATTTTGTGGCCAAATACATTTGAGAACTTCCAAGTCAAACACAAGTTAAACTTTTTTGGCAGGACTTCTCAGAGCCTTTAATGATTCTCATATCTTTGTGATTTTCATATAAGGAACAAGGAATGCAATATTTCTCAAATGTATTTGTATCTTTTTTGGGGGGGCGGGGCAGAACACTGTTGCTACCAGGGTTCTTGAGAATATACTTTGGGAAATGTGGACCTAGGATCACGGTCAGAATTCCTAGGAGTGTTGTTATTTGACCGTCTATGCCTCTACCCTTTTTCAAACATGACCTGCATTAGCTTATGCAGACACAGACACTAAAGCCAAGAGCTGTTAGCACAAAATAAGACTAAATTCAAACAATAGTATTGGAGAAGAAAAACTGCACTCCCAATTCAAGAAAGCTACCAGAGTTCATCTCAAAACAGAGTGCCGAGTTTCCTGGTGGCCAAAGCAAACAGGGTGATGAGGTGGGTTTCATAGTTTTAGGAGGAGAAGGGCCAAACATTCTCTATGTACGAACAAGGTTCGGTTTTCATTCGTCTATGTGTCTACTCACTCATTCAACAAATGTTTATTTACCAACTACTATCTATGAGCCCAATGCCAGGCACAGGGATACAATGGTAGACAAAAAAAGGCACATACGTGTCCTCATGGAGGTTAGTCAATGGTTTTTCAGAACAAAGATGCCAGCCCTCAATGTCCACTTTTCTCTGGATCCCATTCTGAGTTCTCAGGCAGAAGCCTCCCACCTTACTCTAGGTTTTCTTTTTTCTTTATTTAAAAAAATATTTATTTACTTATTTGGTTGCACTGGATCTTAGTTGCGGCAGGCGGGCTCTTTAGTTGTGGCATTCGAACTCTTAGTTGCGGTATGCATGTGGGATCTAGTTCCCTGACCAGGGATCGAACCCAGGCCCCCTGCATTGGGAGCGCAGAGTCTTATCCACTGTGCCACCAGGGAAGTCCTGCTCTGGTGTTTCTCTCCACCTGTTTTGCATCAGAATCACAGAAGGTGATGACATCCTAGGTGCAGGGAACCCAGGTGGTCAGTAGAATCAGACCATTGTGTGAGGATTTTCAGGAAAACCAATGTGGGAAAATGGGCCATGGCAAAGGAGGTGGTCCCCCATCCTTGGGGGATGGGTATCCCTGGGTCCCTGGGCATCTTTTCTGAGCTCCAGCCTAGGAGTTGAGAATCTAATGACTCTGCTTCTTTTATCTGCTCCTATTCTTAATATTCTGGTTCTTCAACACTTTGCATGTGGGAAGTTCTTGTCAATTGCTTTTTGTTGGTTGAATGGATGGATGGACTCATGGAGGGATATATAGTTGAATGAATGGATTTGTGGAAGGTTGATTGGCACATAGGAAGGAACTGTTGGTTGAATGGAAGAATAGAAGGTGGATGAGTGAAGGGACCAATGAATGAATATGTGGATGGAAAGATGCCTGGCACTTAGTAAAGGTACAGTATTATTATCATTAAAATATTCTTAGTGTGGTAAAATACACATAATGTAAAATTTACCATCTTAACCATTTTTAAGTATACAGTTCAGTGGTATTAAATACATTCACATGACATGTATTGTGCAACCATCACCACCATCCATCTTCAGAACTCTTCTCATCTTCTAAAACTGAAATTCTGTATCCATTAAATGCTAACTCCCCATTCCCCTCCCCAGTCCCTGGCAACCACCATTATACTTTCTGTCTTTATGGCTTTGACTACTCTAAGTACCTCCTATAAATGAAATCATACAGTATTTGTCCTTTTGTCACTGGCTTATTTCATTGCTCAATGAAATAATGTCCTTAAGTTTCATCCACATTGTAACATGTGTCAGAATTTCCTTCCTTTTTAAGGCTGAGTAATATTCTACTCTATGGATGGACCACATTTTGCCTATCCATTCATCTGTTGATGGACACTTGGGTTGCTTCCACCTTTTGGCTACTGTGAATGATGCTGCTACGAACATGGGTGTACAAATATATCTTTGAGACCATGCTTTCAATTCTGTTGGGTATATATCCAGAAGTGGAATTGCTGGATCATATGCTAATCCTATTTTTAATTTTTTTTGAGGAACCATCATACTGTTTTCCACAATGGCTACACCATTCTTTACATTCCCACAAACAGTTCATAAAGGTTCCAGTTTCTCCACATCTTGGCCAACCCTTGCTATTTTCTGTTGTTTTGATAGTAGCCATCCAAAGAGGTGTGAGGAGGTATCTCATTGTGGTTTTGATTTATATTTCCCTAATTATTAGTGACACTGAACATCTTTTCATGTGCTTTTTGGCCATTTATATAGCTTCTTTGGAGAAATGTCTACTCAGGTCTTTTGCTCATTCTTGAATTGGGTTGTTTGGTTTTTGTTGTTGTTGAGTTTTAAGAGATTTCTATGTATTCTGGATATTAATCCCTATGTAATCTGGGTATTATATCAGATATGTAATTTGCAAATATTTTCTCCCATTCTGTGGGTTGCCTTTTTACTCTGTAGATAGTTTCTTTTGGTGCACAAAATTAAAAAATTTTCATAAGGTTCAATTTGTCTATTTTTTCTTTCTTTTCTTCTTTTAGGCCACGCTGCGTGGCTTGCGGGATCTTAGTTCCCTGACCAGGGATTGAACCCAGGTCCACAGCAGTGAAAGCACCAAGTCCTAACCACTGGACCGCCAGGGAATAATTCCCTGTCTATTTTTTCTTTTACCTGTAGGCACAATATTATTTTTAAAATGAAGCTATCAGTTAATGAATGGACAGTTAGATGGATGAGTGAGTGGGTGGGAGATGGACAGAGGATTGTACAATCGGGTGGGGGATGGATGGGTGTTTGAAGGAGTGGATGGATGGATAAATAGATGGTGGATGGGTGGATCAATGGATAAATGGATGGAATGTGAGTTGGTTAGGTAGGTGGGTAGAGGGACGGAGAGATGAGTGAGTGGGTGGGCGAATAGAAGACCTTATGAATATATAGGTAGGGTGGCTGGGCAGGTGCAAAATTCTGGCCACAGATGGAGGACATCTTGGTGCACAACCTTGGCTCTTTTCAGATGAGTAGTAGCTTATCTTCTGACCCCACCTTGGCTCAGTTTAACTCCATGGGCACACATTCTCTTTTTCTAGGTTCAGCTTTCCTCCTATGTCTCTCTGGTTCTCCAAGAATCTTACCCTGGAGCTCAGATTGAACTGAGCCCTTGGCTTGTCTGCTGACCTTCTCAGTGGTAAGAACTCCTGGAAAAGAGCCTGCATCCTCCTGAGGATATGGTACACAAGCAGCTCTCCATGACGACTGTGGTCTGCTTTTAAGCCTTATCCCAGTCAACCAACCTCTCTCTGCAGCCTCACCCACTTCTCCATCAGGCACTAAAGCATCCCACCAGGTCCTCCCTCTCCCTGCTACACCTCTTTCTGCTTCCACCCTGGTCTCCAGCCCAATTCCCACTCCACCCGCGCCCCTCCCCCTGGGGATGGCGGAGACACAGGATAAATTAGAGGAAGGAGTCACCCAGGTCAGCCTCCTACCTCCAGTCCAAGAACTTTTTTCTCCTCCCCAGGGTCCCCAGGCAGCCATGGATGTGGGTCTCTTGGTCCCGCCAGATGTACCCCAGGGTTGCGGCAAAACCCTGAGGCGACCGTGGGGCCGGCGTACGGCCGTGCGTCGGCAGCGGGAGTTCATGCCAGAAGAGAAGAAGGATACGGTTTACTGGGAGAAGCGGAGGAAGAACAACGAAGCGGCCAAGAGATCCCGGGAGAAGCGACGTCTCAATGACGCGGCCCTAGAGGGCAGGCTGGACGCATTGCTTGAGGAGAACGCTCAGCTCAGGGCTGAGCTACGGGCTCTCAAACATCGCTTTGGTCTCCTGCCCCCCACTGGTGGTACCTGGACCCTGCCCACTCTGCTATGGGAGTCGCCCTGGGCTGGAGACCCCCACCCTAGGGCTGAACAGCTTCCCTCTCTTCCCGCTTCCCATGGCTGCCTCTTGAGACCGTGTTCCTTGGACGCTGGTGTTCCAGGATGCTGGGGCTGCCTGGTGGCTCCCAGCTGGACTGGCCTGGCCACTTCCCCCAGGTCCCTCCAGGACCCTGCACCCCCTACCCCCAAGAGAATGGACATGGCCTTGCAGAGTTCTCTTCCAGCCACCTTCTTCAGCTGTCACCCCCTGGATAGACATGAGGGGCCCAGACCAGAGCTCAGGCCCTGCTGGGGGCTGTGGTCACTCATACCCACTGGTTGCCGGGCCTCAGGGTGCTCAGATGTGTTGCTGACGCCCAGTGTTGATCCCGTGGGGTTGCCTCCTGGGGTGGCCTTCCCGGTCCCTGGGAATGATCCAGAGGATCTGGCTCAGCCCTCCCTGCCCCACAAATTGCGCATCAAGTCCCAAGCCTCAGGCAGAGTACCTTGCGACTGGGGGGGTGGCTGAGCCCCCATCTGAAAGCTTCTCCTGGGCAAGGCCAGGCCTGCCAGGGTGCAGTGGGGATTGATCGTGGGTTTGTCTGGGGGTATGAGTGGCTTGGCCTTGACCCAGCTCCCAAGACTGGGAAAGGCCTGTGGGAGGCGGTGGGTGCCCTGGCTGGGGGGAGGGTCCACTTCTTAGTGTCCAGACCAGACCTTTAAGAGGAGAGGCTGGGGTACCTTGGATCGTACCATGGCTCCTATCCTGCCTAAAATATTTGTTTTGGGTAGTCACTTTTTTTTCCTTCTTCCATTCATCCATTCATCTACCCACTCATCCATCCATCCACCCACCCATCTACTCATTTGTCCATCCATCCATCCATCCACCCATCCATCCTTCCATCAGTCCATCCATCCATCCATCCATCCATCCATCATCCATCCTTCCTTCCATCCATCCATCCATCCATCCTCCATCCGTCCTTCCATCCATCCACCCATCCATCCTTCCATCAGTCCATTTATCCATCTATCCATCCACCCACCCATCCATCCTCCATCCGTCCTTCCATCCGTCCATCTATCCATCCATCCATCCTTCCTTCCATCTATCTATTCATCCATCTAACCACTCAGCCATCTAACCACATCAACTCACCCAACCATTCTCCCTTCCTTCCTCCCTCCCTTCCTTCGTTCCTTCATTCATTTGTTCGTTTGTTCATTCATTCGTTCCTTCCTTCCCTCAATCTATCGATCCATCCTCCCAACCACTTTGCTATGAATCTACACACCTATCCATTCATCCATTTATCTATCTACCCATATGTCTATCCATTTGTCGATTCTTTTATTCATTTAATCACTCATTCATGTGCTCATTTGGTTATTCATTCATTCATTCTCTCACTCATTTATTTACAATTCATAGTGCCCAACTTAGTAACAAGCATGAGGACACCTTCCTGGTTTTGGGGTTCCTGTTCTAGGGGGGATGATGGGGGGCTGGGAACAGACATACTGAGGGCCATACTTGAAGGAGGATGTACTGTCTCAAGATGTCTGACCCCTCATTTCTTAGGGTCCCCTTGGGGTGCTTGCTTACCACCCAGTTTGGGGATCAGACTTATCCAGTTCAGATGGCTTTCTCTGTGTGTTGGGTCAGGGCCTTGAGCCACTGGAACAGGCCAGCAATATCTGAAGGGGGGTCAGTTTTCTCTCTGTCCCCAGCTGCTTGTGCCCCTGAAGACCTCTCAGCCCCAGCATACACAGTCCCAGCTGGATGGGAGAAAAGACCACTCTCCAGGTACCCTGGAGCCCCCAGAGCTCACCAAAATCCCTTCCCTCATCAGTCCTCACTCAGAACCCTCCTTTTTTTTTTTTTTTTTTTTAAATAAAAATCATTTCAGAGCATTTGTTAGATTCTGGTTAAAAAAAGATCCCAGCTCCAATTGTGGGGAGAGCTGGGGTGGGGTGGGGTATGCCTCTGGGCTGGTGCAGCCGCTGAGCACTGGATGCCCCTGGTCAGCCAAGTCATTGGGCCACGGGTGCACCCTCCCCTCTCCGCCCTTACCAGGTTTGGAGGCTGGGCTAGTTCTCAACCAGCCCAGGTTTATCATGGTCACAGCACAGGGCACCCTGCATATCACAGCCTGGCCCTCCTCTGCCTGTTCACTCCTTGTTCTGGTCCCTCACCCATTCTCGGCCCTCCAGTGGGAGAAAACAAGTACCCAGCCAGGTCTCCCATCCTGCTTGTCACAGCTGCAGCAATCAGCCATGGGGGCCTTGGTGGGCACCTGCCCTTCTGAGGACCTGCACTGCCAGTTCAGCTGCGCCCCTGAGCGAGGGTGGGGGGGCGCCCAATGTCCTGCCTTCTCCCCCACCTTTGGGCTGGGATTGGAGACTTACATCTCCCAAGAATGTCCTGGGGAGGCAGGAAGGAGGGCTGCCTGGAGGAGGCAACTCTGGCCTGTCCCTCCTCAGCCAGCACCCACAGCTGGGAGGGGGTAGACTGGGGGTGCAGAGGAGCCAGTTCTCAACACAAAGATGCCACACAGGGACTTCTCTGGTGGTCCAGTGGTAAAGAATGCACCTTCTAATGCAGGGGACGCAGGTTCGATCCTTGGTCGGGGAACTAAGATCCCACATGCTGCGGGGTAACCAAGCCCAGGCGCCACAACTACTGAGCCCGCCCGCCTCAACTAGAGATCCTGCGTGCCACAAAACTACAGAGCACACGTGCTCTGGAGCCTGCGTGCCACAACTACAGAGAGAAAAACCTGCACACCACAACTAGAGAGAAGAATGTGCGTCGCAATGAAAGATCCCGCGTGCCGCAACTAAGACCCCCCCCCCCGCAAAAAAAAAGATGCCACACAGTTGTGGCTGATCCTGCATAGAGGATTTTAATGCAGCCCTGGCCCTGGAAATATTAAAAAATGCTAACAAGGAGAGGGAAGGACAAAGTGGGGGCATAGCATCCTGCTGCTGGGAGATGTGGGTAGCTTAGTGCTTCCTCTTGGTGATTCCACCCACCAGGTGTGTCTAAAGTGTCTGGGCCCAGCTTACTCACACCCCGTGGACTCGGGGGTGGGGATTGGCTGCCTTGGGTGACTCAGGCCCCTTTTAACCTTCCTGCTCCAGTTGGAAAAGGCTGGAGAAGGATCTGCCTAAAACAGATCATAGAATTTTGACATCAGGAGGGGCTCCAAGAATCTAGTGATGAGTGGTCATCCAGTCTCTACTTGAATTCCTCTAAGGATGGAGAATTCACTTCCTCCAAAACCCCATCACCATTCCTTCTCTAGAGCCAGAACCCACTTCTTGCAAACTTCTACTTCTGATCCTATTCTTACCAAGGGGGAGCCACTCAGACCCCCTACTCTCTACCTGGAGGTGGCTGGTGGAGCCTCCTGCTCCTCTTCTCCAAAGTAGAGACCATCACACCTACCTCAGATGGTTTGAGAAGTTTAAAGCTCATTTACTGTGTGCATAGCATTTCATACACAAGTGCCCAACAAATATTAACTCCTCCCTCCTTTTCCTTTTTAGAAAGCACTCATGCTCCCAGCCCCAGAGTAGTGCTGTCTTCAGGGGAAATGAAACAATCAAAATTGTTTCCCTTCACTCTGGCCTGGCTCTTATTATTTTTTTGTCAATGCTGTTTATATATGATTGCTCTTGGAACTGAGTGTGAATCATTTCTGCATTCATCACATACATATATTTTTTCAACAAATATTTTTGGAGCTCCTACTGTGTGTAAAACAGGAACTGGATAAGGGAAAAAGTACTCCACACTGAGGAATTTGCAAGTGGAAACTTGCACAAATGTCTAGAATGTTCACCCAAGACATGTTGATTACTGTCCTCCTGTGCTGGGCTCTGGGACCACAGGTGTGTCTTCTGCCCTCTGAGAGCCAGTGGGCATCTGGCAAGCTTGTGTGTGGCTGCCTGGGAGCTGCTGCTATAAGAACTATCCGGTGCCACGTTCCACCCTGGGGCATCCATGGGTCCCTTGGGTCATGTCTGTCACACCAGGATTGACTCGGGGACTGGATTTTAGGACCCTGTGTAACTACATGTTATGTTTCCTCTTCCACCCATCCTTGAAGGCTGGGGAGACTTCTTTGGCTATCAATGCACGAAATTCCCTTCCTGCTCCAGGTGTGTCTGGCTCAGGTTGAGATTGTAACAGACGTTGAATGAATGAAAGTTTCTGCCCACCGAGTTGGTGATTGCTGGGGGCAGAGATAAAATGAGTTGAAGATGCTGATCAGGCCATGTTTATCTGTCTTGTCTGCAAAGATTCACAGGCACATCCTGGCTGAACCCTGTGCTACCTGGATCTTTGACACTCAAGTCATGATCCACGGACTAGCAGCATCAGCATCATCTGGGAGCTTGTTAAAACGCAGACTCTTAGGCCCCTCCCAGAATAGGTAAATCAGAACCTGCATTTTAATAAGATGCCCAGAAGATCCACATGCACATTGAAATTTGAAAAGCATGGATCCAGAGTAGGGGGTTGGCAAACTCTTCCTGTACAGAGGGGCCACAGAGTTAATATTTTTGACCTTGTGGGATGGCCACTGTTGCAGCTACTCCATCTTTTCATTGTAGCATGAAAGCAGCCGTAGACAATATGTAAATAAGTGGGCATAGCTGTGTTCCGATAAAACTTTATTTCTCAAAACAGGTATAGCCAGATTTGGCCCATGGGCCATAGTTGGCTGTTGGTGTACAACTAGGAGGGAAACTGCAGATCCTCAGAGTGTTTGTCTTCAACCTGGATATTGCCAAAGTGTTCCACCGAGTGGTATTACCAACCTACAATTTCTTGCATGTAAAGGAAGTTCATGTTCTGCCAAAACATGGTTTTTATGGACTGTTTGATTTTTGCCAATCTGGTGAGTGTAAAATGAACTTAACCTGCATTTCTCTGTTGAACATTTTTGCCAAAATCTGTTGGCCACTTGGGTTTCCTCTTCTATGAATTGCCTGTTCTGCTGGGATATTTACTTTTTTCTTGTTGATTTCTCAGAGCTCTTTATATATTCCAGATATGCATCCTTTGTCACATATGAACATCTCAGCATTCTCACCTAGCTTGTCTTTTCACTTTGTTTCTGCTGTGTTTTGTTGAACAACAGTTTTTAAATCAGATGTTGCCAAATGTATCCATCTTTTGTATTATGGTTTGTACATTTTTTTCTTAAGAATCCTTCCATGCCTCAAGGTCATAAAGATAATCTCCTAAATGTTCTCATAACTGTTTTAGGGTTTTGCTTAGTCCATGTCTTTGTGTGTATCTCTCTCTCTCACCTTGTAGCATGAAGTGCCATTACTCAAACTTCTTTGATCAAAAGAATCACCCACAGGTGCTTGTTTAATTACAGACCTTTTGAATTCAAACTTTCCAGGAGACAGGCCTTGGAATCTTTTTTACTAGCACCTAGGTGACTCTTATAATCAGACCAGTTTGGGAAAAGCTGGCTTAGTGGTTAACAGATGGGTTTGGGAGCTGGGCAGGACCAGCTGTAATCTGTAAATGGGTATTCTGAACAGCTCATCCTGCAGGGATGTCTTGTGAAGATTAATTGAGAAGTATATAAATGGCTGGGCACGCACCTTTCCCTGGGAACTGGATTGTTTCATCCTCATAGAGAATATAACTAATCCTGTTTCCATTTTTGTTTTGGCCACCGTGGGGCTTGGGGCTAAACTTATGGCTCAGTCGTAATAACTGTTCATTCACTCATTTAAAAAATTCCTTTACTCATTTAGAAAATGTTTATTGATCACATACCATGTTCCAGGCACTGGAGAAAGAGCAATGAACAGAACAGATATGGTTCCTGCCT